TTTTTTAAACTCAAAAAATTTCAATTTATGTCCTTTTGTTCGGTAATTTGAGCAAAATATTGAACGTATTCGATAGATCTCCAACTGGAGGTTGCTGTAAGCCTGAAGCACAATTTGGACAACAACTCTTTTTTTGGCAGACCCACAGTTGTTGCCCTGACTGTTTACAAATTTGACAAATTCCCTTGTTCTTTCCTACACAACAAAAAATATATATTGCATCAAACAAAACATAAGGTTTCTATAAGCCACCTAAAATTACATGAAAGAACTCAAAACAACTAAGCTATATATATAAGCGAACTCAAATTAAAGTCTAATCTAGGCAAAATCGAGCATAGGCAAAAGTTGTGCAATGCATTCAATGAGGTTGTTGTTTGCATAAACTCAATATCTACCATTTTAGAAACTTCCATACTTGATGTCTAAAAGGAATACAACTGATTAACTCTTGCAAAAGTCTCATAACAATAAAACACTTTTCAGCTCTAGACAAAAGCATCAAATTTAAAAACTCCAAACAGATGCAACAAAAGCAAGAACTAATCAATCCACAACTCAATGCAGTAGATTTCTATAACCAAAATTTAAAATAAAAGTCAAGCACCCGTTTTCCTTTTTCGGAATTATAATCTGTACATAAAAAAATCAGCAATAATCTAGTTGCTTCCTTCAAAAATCAAGAAAATCTGAACCTATGTTTCATTTTCTTTTGACGGAATCAGATCCGCCAACATTTACGCATTTACCCATTTTGTCCAAGTTAACTACACAATCACCTAACCATAGCATGTGCAGTAAAGACCCAAAAAAAAAAAAAAAATTGGGATTTACTTGATGTGGTCCTTCCATTCGCGATTCTTGAAAACCCGAAGATTCGTGGTATGGGTGGGGCCTTCGAGGGTTATGGATTCGATTTCGGGTTATTGTTCATGACAATTACGGATTTTTATGTTTGGGAAGTTGCAATTGTTCCAACGTTTATAGGGTTGGACAAAACTCCCAAACCTAACTGAATTGAATCGAACCCGAACCAAACTAAACTGAATCGAGCAGTTCTTCTTAAATTAAATACTCGACCATGTATCTAAATCAAGAACCGACAGGTTCGGTTCGGTTCTCGATTCTAGATCTATAATCGAATAAGAACTGATTCTTCTTATTTTTTTTAATCTTAAATAAGTCAAATTATTTTATTTATTCTTACATGAATTTGCTAACTAATTAATTTAGCTCAAAGCTAAAATATGATTTTACTATTTTCAATTT